CAGAAGACAGCATTCTCATATCTGCTTCTGAATTTGGCCATTGTGATAGCTCATGTCACATAACCTCTGGGAAATGCCACTGGCCATTTGTGAAATAATGAAGGGAAAAAAGAAATAACAGCATTATGATAGGTATTATGTCATTGAATCTTCCTGATAAAATAACTAGGTACTATTGTTATTATATCTCCTTTTTCAGATGAGAAAACTGAGGCTCAGAGCACTTAGGTCATTTATATAATACCCAGCTAGGAGCAAGGAGGAGGACCAGGTCTCCCTGACTCTTTCTCTAGGGTCTTAACCCCTGCACTGTCCTGCAGCCACTGTGGATGAAAGGGAACCCAGGTTTGTGAGAACTGTGACTCTGAGGAGATAGGGACCAAAAAGTGGTGGGTGGATTTATAGCTTTTCTGAAGCTTTGAAGCCATAGAAAAAGAAAGAATAAGACCTGAAATTCTTAGTGGTAACTAAATGCAAAGTAGGCAACTCATGACTAATTTGGGGGATTGTATCATTTAGGGGGAAAGAGAGAGGGAGCCAATGTTTACAGAGCATCTCCACACATAGGTGTTTCACCACCCATAGGAAATACTCCAAAAGGTTGACTGACTTGCCCACGGTCTCACAGTTACTAACACAAAAAAATATATACCTTTTTTAAAAAAGTAATTATTTCATTTTATTTATTATTATTATTTTTTAATTTGCTATAGGGCACATGCTCTCATTGGAGAGAAAGAGGGAAAGTGAGAAAGCAAGCCTCCAGGTCCAGGACTTGAACAGCAGTTAGCCATGTGGGAGTCTAACGCCTTAACCAGCTTGTCACCTACTGGCCCCCAAGATGTATCTTTTTTACTTCACAGCTGAAACTTTCTCCTTCATTTGCTGGCTAGCAGAGCTTAGCAGTTGCTGTGTTCAGGAATTGTTCTTTTCAGTTGTTAAAATAAACAGCAACATTCAGGAGAGGGATATGTGTTTTTAAAAGGCTGTAGGCCCCACTCATACTGTCAGCTCATCCAGGCCTCTTGCTATTCAGAAGACACATCTTTAAGCTGCCTCTCAGTGCTCCTGGAGGACTCAGGAACCTCCAAATGACAGGTTCAAATCCTGGTTCTTTCACTTCAGAGCTGACTGACTTTGGGCCAATTACTACACCTTTCTCCACCTCTGTTTTCTCATCAGTAAGATGGAGAGACTAGGACCTGTCTTAGAAGGTTGTTGGAAAGATCAAGTGAGTGAAGACATGTCACACACTTAGAACAGTTCAGGAAGGAACCTTATCCTGTGTAGCGCTCAGCCTGAACATGCGAACCAAGACAGGGTGACTGGGGGACTCGGGGTTGCTGAGAGTAACATGCTTCCCTTGACTCTCACTGTGTTTACTACTTTTGTTACTTTCGAATTACTTGCCAAACCTTAGAAATCAGGAGAGTTCACATACATGCTTAGGTTTGGGGGTTTCTCTTAAAAATCAGGCACTTTGGTCACATGAAACCTACATTCTCAAGTGGTGACCATAGGCTGGATGTAAATCCTGAGAGATAACAGCTGGAGAAGGGCCACAGCCTAACCACCACGCAGCAAGAGCTGCATTTTCTGAACTTATTTGTACATTCACTCACACTTTTCCAAAGGTGTAATTTACATATATAAATAAGATGTATACATCTTAATCATTCAGTTCAATGGATTTTAATAAATGTATGCACCCATGTAATTACCACCCATGTCAAGGTCATACCAATTTCTATCACCCCAGAAAGTGCACTCATGTCTCTTTTGAGTTGAATCCTATATTTCACTTTCTGATTTCAGTCACCATAGATTCCTCTTTGCTGTTGTTGAACTTCATAAAAATGGAATCATAAGGTATGTACTTTTTGTGTTTTCTTTTGTTTGGCTAACGTGTCTGAGATGTTGTATGTGTCTGACGTCTGTTTCTTTTATTCTTTTTTTTTTTTTTTTGGAGAAGTTTTCACTATAGGGCGCGTGCGCTCGCCAGACAGACAGAGAGGGACATAGAGACAGAAAGCGAGAAATCACCCCCCGGGGGGATGGTCACGCCGCAATCCCTTCTCCTCCATTCTCCTCTCGGGATCTTGGGCACACACGCACATGCGCCTGGCATGAGTTTTAAGCCACCGGGTCCAGGACGCGAACTGCAGTCGACTACGTGGGAGTCCAGCGACATAGCCATTATGCTAATTGCTGGTTCCCCTTTTAGTCATTTTTTAAAAAGAATTATTTATTTATTCATTCATTTATTTTAATTTGACTAGAGACATGGGGGTGGGGGTAGTGAGGCAAGTCACCAGGCTTGGGACTCAAACCATGGCTAACCATGTAGGAGTATCCAGCACCTTAACCACCACACTACCTGCTGGTCCCCCTTTCATTCATTTTTTTAGTTTATTTATTTCATCCATAAAAGACACAAGAGGGAGAGACAGAGACTGAGACAGGCATTCCCAATAGGGTCTTCCTGGTGCAATCCACTCTGAGTCTTACAGGTGTGCTCAGGGGGGTCCCGGGACATGAACTCAGAGCTCTTCCCATGTGAGTGCTGTTGTATTACCACTGCACCACCACCCAGCCCTTGTTCCTTTTTTATAGTAGTTTTCCACGGTATATGAATGCTCAGTTTGTTTATCCATTCACCTGTCAGTGGACATTTGGGTTATTTCCATGTTGGGACAGTTACAGGAAGAGTACCATAGACATTAGTGTTCAAATCTTTGTGGAAACATATGTCTTCATTTCTCTTGGTTTATACCTAAGAATGCAATTGCTTAGTCATTGGCGAAGTGTATGTTAATGTAACAAGAAACATCCAAATAATTCTCTAAGGTGGTTATGACATTATTATTTCCTATGTTTTTATCCAGAGAGTGTATGCACTCACCAGAGAGAGACAGGAACAGAGAGAAGGAGAGGGAGACAGCACACCCCTGTGAGGCATGGCCATACCACAATCCCTCCTCCATCCTGCTGGGATCTGAGGCACTAATGCACACACACTGGATTGTTTTTCAAATCACTGAGGCTGGGATTTGAACCACAGTTGCCACATGGGATCCAGCTTCCGTAATCTCTAGGCCGCAGGACCAGCCTCTTATTCTTTATAGCACCAAGGGTAAACACCAGAAAGCCTGATTATCGGAGAAGCTGTCGGCAGCACACAGCCAGTAGCACAGTGGGCCACCTCATCACGAGATCTTACAGAACTTTTCTAGAGCAGCTGGCGTTCTGACCCCACTGGCCTGTCTGCCCACAGGTGGAGCTGAGCCGTGGCTGTCCTTTTCAGCTGGGACACGTGCTCTGCAGTGAGCCACCACCCTACCTGCCTGCTTCACTTGCTCACATGCTGCTCCTGGAACTCAAAGACCCAGATGTGCCCCAGGAAGTCAGGACTAGCTGTGGCTGGTGAGGAATGTGCCTTCTACAACACTCAACTGGTTGTCCTGGCACTGTGGCCCCTGGCTGCAGACCACAGGTGTGTGGCTCCTGCCTGCCCCCCTTCTCAGTCCCTGCAGCTCCTTCTATAAACCTATTTCCAGGGCAAGCCCTGATCCCACAGGCCCCACTCATACTGTCAGCTTGATCCCCAGGTCTTTGTGCATCCAGGCCTCTTGCTATTCAGAAGACACATCTTTAAGCTGCCTCCCACTGCTCCTGGAGGACTCAGGAACCTCCAAATGACAGGTTCAAATCCTGGTTCTTTCACTTTGGAGCTGACTGACTTTGGGCCAATTACTACACCTTTCTCCACCTCTGTTTTCTCATCAGTAAAATGGGGAGAATAGGACCTGTCTGAGAAGGTTGTCAGAAAGATGAAGCGAGCAAAGACATGTCCCACACTTAGAACAGGGCCTGGGTACATGCCCATCTCTGCTGTTGTTTCTGGGCTGCTGTGTGCTGGCACAGGGACTGCCATGGCAGATCGACTGGGCCCAGCAGGCCAAAGGAAGAAGGCAGAGGGGCTCCATGAACCTGCTGCAGCCAGTGACTGTCCTGTGGCAATACGGACTCAGTGTGGCCAGATCTTCACATTGCTCCAGAAAGGGAAACCCAGAATTGTGTTTCAATCTCTTGGTTTGCAAATTCTGTTATAATAACTATTTGTAAAAACGTCTGGACACTCTAAGCATCTAGGGGAAGCCTGTGCTTTTTCCCACCCCCAGGTTTTGTGGTATCCTAGTCTGATATGAGACCCCAGCCATGTCTTGATCACTCCTGACAGTTTCCCTGGGCTTCAATGGACTCATCTTTGCTTGCCTTGCCTGGAAAGGAGTTGAACAAGTGGTGGTTACTGTTCCTGTTGCTGCTGCTGCTGCTGCCACAGCCTGGGCCCTGCTGGAAGTCCCTCCTGGGCATTTTCCCTTTGTCCCCTGTGTCCCCTGCCAGCATCTCTCCTCCCTCCCCCTCCCTCCAGCTCCTCCCAAGGCCGCCTGTCTCCAGAGTGGAGGCGGGACAGTGGCAGAGAGGGTGAGTGAAGCAGCACGGTGCCTGGGCTCACACGTCTCCCCCACCCTCTCCTGCCATGGGTCCCCTCCAGGTGAGGGCAGAGTGCCAGGCATACCACCTTCCCCACAGGGGCCCGCTCAGAGTTCAAGGGTTCCGGGATGGGCCCTGGCCTCTCCTCTGCTCCTAGGGAGATCATTCACGCTTCCTTTAATCCCGCAGCAGCTGAGGCTGGAGTTTGGAGTTTGACCTGCTGGGAGGCTTTCTCAGCAGAGCCATCCAGGAGGCAGGGTCACCGCTGTCTTTGGAAGCTCTCAGCTGCTAGGGACAAGGAGCCCAGGGGTCTTCCTCCTTACAGTCAGCTCTACCTCCTTCTCAGAAGCCACCAACAGCCCCAGGGCAGGTGGACCTGCAGCTTGAATAAGTTAAGACCCTCTTTCCTCCCTGCAGAGTACCCATTCTCCAAACGGGGAAGTCAGGCTGGGACAGGGCTGCAATGCTGGCAGGACTCCAGCTGGGAGTCACAGATGGGGCAGGAGGGGTACTCGCTCTCTCACAGAGAAGGATTGTCATGTGCTAGGCATGTGTGTTTGGGGGGTGGGCATCGTGGCACGGAGCTGGCAGCCAGCAGCAGGCGGCAAGAGTCCTAGTTCTTCCTCCTGACAAAGTTCAGGGTTCAACCCCCTTTCAGGAGCCAATCATGTCTCCTCACTGAGCCTCACGGTCCTCACCTGTCCAATGAGGAGGTGAACCTCAGCCCAGCCCAGCTCGCAGGTGTGGTGCATGAGGACTCAGACAGATAATGAAGGCGAATACAGCCACATAAACAACATCCAGAGGGATCCGGGATTACGATCGACTGCAAGGCAAATACAAGTTTGCACCGGTGTATGCCAGACACATGCAGAGAGCATCACCCCCAGATCTCTAACAGCACAGCTATCCGGTAAGGTCGGCACGGCCACCCCCAACTCATACACAGAGCCTGAGTGCCACTAAGCAAGTGACAAAGCTGAGACTGAACGCCTGTGGCCTTGGGCTTACTCACAGCCTCAGTGGTTTTCCAATGGCATTCTGCTGAACTGTTCTGGGGAACGGTTGACAGAGAGTCCCTCTCACAAAGGGCATCCTGGAGACGTGACTTTGAGAAAGGCTGCCACCTTCTCGGGAGGTCACAGTGTGCAAGGGTCTACAGCGAAGGCTCTAAAACTCTCACATGGTTCTACAGTGTTTGTCGCGTGCCCGCTTTGGGGCCACAGTGTGAATGAGACAGGCATGGTCGCTGTCTGCACGGAGCTTGCAGTGCAGTGGAGACAAGCGGCCGAGACAGAATCACGTGCGTCAAACATTATGCTTGATTAAACTGTGATGGCAGGTCACGTCTGCCAACTGGAAAATAATGTGGCTGCCCAGTTTAGACTGAGGCCAAGAGAGTGCTTCTTTGGGACATACACAGTCGGCTCACATCTAAAGGATGAGTAGGAGTTTGTCAGGCAAAGAGTGCGGGGAAAACCATCCCAGGCAGAGGGAACAAAATGGCAAAGACCCTGAGTCCAGAATTAGCATCCAGAGATTGAAATGAAGGCTGGCATCTGATGAGCCTGGGGGTCCGACGGAGCACTTCAGGAGTGCAGAGATGTTTTGCGTAAGAAAATGATTTCATCTGCTTTGTGGTCAAACATCTCTCTGGCTTCTGAGGTAGGGATGAATTAAAAGGAAGCAAGAGAAGGGTCAGCAGGTGGCACAGAGGTTAAGGTGGCAGGATCCTGCATGGCCAACTGAGCAGTTCGAGTCCTGGGCCCAGTGGCTTGAAATTTACACTGGGCACTTGTGGTTGTGTACCCAAATTCTCAAGAGGAGAATGGAGGAGAAGGGACTGCAGCGTGGCCATTTCCCTGCCCCCCCCCCCAGGGGATAGTCTCCCTTTCTGTCTCTGTGTCTCTGGTGAGCACACATGCCCTATAGCAAATATCTCTCCAAAAAGGAAAAAAAAATAATCATGTCAGCATGTGTATGTGCCCAAAATCTTGAGAGGAGAATGGAGGAGAAGGGATTGCGGTGTGGCCATTCCCTCTGGGGGGGAGGGGTGATTTCTCATATTTTTTCCTTTCACTCCCTCTGATTCCAGAGAGTGCACATGCCCTATAACAAACCCAAACTAAATAAGTAAATAAATAAATATTTGATGGGAGAAAAGAAAGCAAGAGAGGCACTGGGAGGCAATATGGGATGTTTTCATTCTAAACTAGACAGAACTGAGAATGGCTTGGATGGGGGCAATGGAAGTAAAGCTGAGGAATATGTTTTCCTCCATTCTCCTCTTGGGATTTTTTTTTTTTTTGAGAGGTTTTTGCTATAGGGCGCATGCGCTCGCCAGACAGACAGAGAGAGACAGAGAGAAAGAAAGCGAGAAATCATCCCCCAGGGGGGATGGCCATGCCGCAATCCCTTCTCCTCCATTCTCCTCTCAGGATCTTGGGCACGCCCGCACACGCGCCCAGCATGAGTTTTAAGCCACCGGGTCCGGGATGCAAACCGTGGTCGACTACGTGCGAGTCCAGCGACATAGCCATTATGCTAACTGCTGGTCCCTCCTCTTGGGATTTTTGACACATATGTTCATGCACCTAGTGTGTTTCAAGCCACAGTGTCTGGGACTTGAACCGTAGTCAACCACATGGGAGTCCAGCACTTAACCACTATGTCACCTGCTGGTCCTTCCCATGAACTTTTTGAAGTCTCTCATAGACCCTGGCTGCCCAGCTGTGCCTTACAGAATTGACCCTCTCCTTCTCCCTCTGGGTGGACTGCTCCATCAATAGCTTCTAGAATCAGGTTGCCCGAAGGTCTGGCTTATGGTCGTGAAGTGAGCAGTTGCCTCCATGCAGGGCACCACAGTGGAGTGATAGGAAAGGGCAGGAGTGGCTGCCAGTGTGGGAGGTGTGGCCACGTCTGTCCTTGTCACCACATTGAGAATTTTCCCAGCACAGGTCCATGTGTCTCAGAGCAGGCAGGAACTCGGAAGTTAAACCCAGAGACCAAGTTCAGTCATTCGTCAGCGATGTGGCCCTGAGCGGGGTCTCAGCTTTGCTTTCCTCACCTGTCAGCAGAGTAAATCAGAGACCTGACCTCTGAGGGGCACCGTGGGTTTCAAATGCCGTTCATACACGTAGGACTAGGATCTGCCTGACCATAAAGTCCATGCGCTTTTTTTTTTTTTTTTTTTTTTTTTAAATTATTTTGTGAGAAAAAGGGGAATGGGCTGAGCAGCAGTGCAGTAAAACATAATGCTCTGCAAGGCTGAGCCCATGGAAAGAATCCAGGTTCACATCCGCGACCTTCCTGGGTATCCTGGGCATGCATGTACCATGATCCAGGCTGGCTCAGGCTGGGTGGATCATGGCATCGAGACCCTGACAGGGAGGCTCTCTCTCTCTCTCTCTCTGGCTCCGTCTCTTCTCTGTCTCCCTCACTCATGAAAGAAATAAATGAGCTTACAAAAAGAAAAAAGAAAATGCGGATGGACCAAGTATTCTGTGCTTAGTCATGTTATAGAATGAACGTGGCTTACTGCTTTCAACAAACCTATGCCATTCTTCTGATTATTGTCTCCATTTTATAGACAGGGAAACTGAGCCTCAGAGATGTTATTTGCTCAGGATCACAGAGCTAATAGGAGGCAGAACAGGGGTTTGAGCTGGGCCCGTACTCCCTTTATACTTTATGACAGCACATCTATTTCCCACCGAAGTGTCTTTTGCCCATATAATTACTATTTGTAGTTACATGACCACTAGCATCTTTGGTCAGTGCAGGGAAATCCCTTCTTCTCTCTCTCTCTCTCTCTCTCTCTCTCTCTCTCCCCCCACCCCTTGATAGCCCCCTAATGTGTTTATGTGTTTGATATTCATTGGCACATATGCCTGCATCCTGGCAAAAAGCTTAGTACTATTCTGTGTCTTTGAGTGTTTCTAATACACACGAGCGAGTGTTTGCTATGAATCTTGTTCTGTGTATTTCCCTCCTCTTGCCTTCACTATGAGATGTTTCAGATGATAAAGAATTATGTAACCCTCGCCCTGGGCACACCTGGCAGAGCAGCCCAAGACATCAAACTCGGCGAATGCGTTTGGAGTCCCCACAGTGCCACTTTGGCCTGTGGTCTGTGAACCTGTTTCTTGATCTTTTCCTTGCACTGGGGCATGGAAAATTTTCACATCCATCATAGCACATTGTGTGAATGGCCAAAAGGAAGCAGGCAAGAGCGGTCCCTGTTTGACTGAGCTTCCTTTTGTGCTTTGGCTGATGTGCAACCTCAGTGGCAGGGCCGACAAAGCCTTTGTTATAACATGAGATGCTGGTTAGCCCTCCCCATGCACGGAGAGGAGCTGCTCAGGAGAAGCAGGAGCCCACCCCAAACTCGGCTTCCCTGAGGCAGCTGGGGCCAAAGAATCAGTATAGGGGCAAAGGGTGCTGAGGGTCATTGCACCGAGGGGTCCTGGGCACATGCAGGCCTGCCAGGGGCTGGGATGAAAACCCATGAGGACGGGCCCTTATCGCTTTGTCCTCCTGGCAGAGCACAGAGACTGGCTCACAGCTGGTGGCCAGTGAACTGTGTTTCAGTGTGTCCTCAAGACCAAGCAGAGTCTAGCACACAGCTGGTGCCTGAGAAGTGTTTCTGGAAAAGACAGAGAGACATAGGAAGGGAAGGAGAGAACAAGGGAGAGAGGGCAGGAGGAAGGAGGAAGACAGACCAGCTGTGTTAGATAACACAATAGGCTTGGCTCAGGACCTGGGTTCAAGTCCCATCTCTGACATTTACTGTGACCCAGTGGCACAGTCAGTCTGGGCCTGCCTCACTTCCTCCTGTCCGTGCCTCCATTTCCCACCTGGAACCTGGAGGTGCAATAGCATTTGCCTCTTAGGGCTGATGAACATGGAATGCAAGGACTCATGGGAAGTGAGCCCCACGCCTGGCACTTAAATACCAACCGCGCTCTCTAACGTTAGGGGTGGCCGCCATCATGCCTACGGTGTGTATTTGCTGAAGAAGGGGCGCCTTGAGGCCGTAGCTTGGGAGCTACGACACGGGCAGCAGAGCTGGGATCCCATAGCATCTCTGGTCAGTGCTCCCATTCCCATGGTGATGATGGGGCTGCACCCCCACTCCCCCTGCCCCCTGGCAGGGCCCCACCTCCGTGGAACTCAAGAAGAGCCTGAAATCCGTGCCAGCCTCCCCCGGCGGCTGGGCCCCAAAGCAGTGATGAATAACTTGTTTATCTGCTGTGAGTCGCTCCCACCCCTCTTGGTGCCTGGCAGGCAGAGGTCTGGAATGGGGAGTGAGTGGGGCAGGGCTCAGGGTGGGGGGAGGAAGGCTGACTCACCAGTAAGTGCAGCCCATCCTCCCTCCTCCCTCCGGTCCTCCCTTCCAGACCTGCAGAATTCTGTAACAATCTGCAATCTGCCCCACTCCCCAGTTCAGCATCAACGCCCACCCTAGGTTGCTTTCTGTGTGTCTGGTCTTCATCTTCCCCAAAGTCCTCTGCTTTGGAAGCAGCAGGTCAGAGTGTTTGAAAACATAGGGTCTGAAATCAGACAGACCTAGATTTGAGTCTCAGCTCTGGTCCTCCTCAGCTGTGTGACTTTGGACATTGATGCTAAACCTCTCTGAGCCACTACTTCCTCACTTGTGAAGTGCAAGGGGAGCATGACCCTTGAGAAACCCTGTTAGGGTCATCTAGCCCCCTCCTTTACAAGACTCAGAAATCTGCCCTTCTTGGTGGGAACCTCCTTAACAGCCTCCTTTCCCACCCCAGGAGTTTCCAACTACAGTCCTCCATTACCACTTTCTCCTGGGGTCTCTGGTTCACTTGGGCTATTCTCGAGTGGATAATATTACTGTCGTCCCATTTTACAGATTATACAAATGACAAACCTAGACCAGAT